TCTTAAGCAGGCTACTTCTGAAGGCTGCCTGCAATTTGGTAGTTCAAATCTCACCAGGCTCAAGGGTGACTCAGCCTTCCATCCTTCTGAGGTCGGTAAAATGAGGACCCAGATTGTTGGGGGCAATATGCCGACTCTGTAAACTGCTTAAGAGGGCTGTAAAGCACTGTGAAACAGTAAATGCTATTGCTATGCTATTACTTGGAATACTTAGTTTGTATTATTATAATTGAAGTTACACATTATCAGATTCTAATCCTAACAGATGGATACTGATGCTAGAATAAAAAGTCATCATCTGTTCAATCCAGCATGTTTGAAAACAGTGGACTGGATTGCACTAATAAACATTCAAGGCAAAAGGAGAAGGGAATGGCAGAAGGTAATTAGATCAAGGATACCCAACCCCCAGGCCATGGCCCACCACTGTGCTGTAAGCCATTCAGAACCGGGCCATGAAAGCGGCAGGAGAGTGTGTGCATATATACCCACTAACGTGAGCAGTGGGCAACCATGCACGTATTTGCTGGCCTCTCACAAGGAACCATCTCCTCTCCCCTGTGAAGAGTCAGACACAATTTAGGTATTGAACAACTAATAAATATAAAAACATATTTGAAGATCTCAATCTGGGTTTCTTAAGTTATTGGTTTTGATTTTGAACAGGACCAAAAAAAGATGTCAAAGCTGCTGGAGACTTCATTCTGCAGTTATATAAGGATCAGAATTCAGACAAAGACATCTATGCCCACTTTACGTGTGCCACGGACACCGAGAACATTCGATTTGTGTTTGCAGCTGTTAAAGAGACCATCCTTAAGTCGAATCTAGAGGAATTCAACCTGGCATGAATAAAAGGGAATCGGCTACATACACTGCAATTTTATTTATTACTTACGAAAGATTCTGTGTAATAGATTTTTAAACAATTGTTTGTGTCCTTGCTGAACATGGAAGGGAACTTCAAATAAGTTTAGAAGTTTTTAAGGAATAGATTTTGAATATTCTGCTTTTAATTTTTTGGAGGGGATTTGTGAGCATTTTGGTCATAATCACAGAGATCCTTTTGCCTTTCATAATTTATAATAGATGTGCATTTAAACCTAGCGAGGCCACAATAATGAGTTTGAGACTAATTGTTCTCTTATTATTCAGCAGAAAGAGGGGTACTTAGTTTTGAGCAATTATTTATTAAATCTGTTTTTAATGGTGTCTTTCTCCTTGTAGTGAACAATCAGCCTTAACAGGTGGCAGCAGTTGGTTGCTGTTTTTTTAGGCTCAAAAAAACAAAAACAAAGTAGCCTCAAGCTTAATTATTACTTGGGTGTGAATTATATAATCCTCTCAAGATAGATTAAAAAAAAGTTGGAACTGGTGTGATGAAGGGACTAATAGAGTCTTCTTCACATGCTGTTCCTGTGAAATTTGCATGAAGTTACCATGAACTGAGCGTCATCAGAGTATTTATTTTACTTGCAATTAAACGATGGATACTAAAGAGGCTGTTTGCATATCTTCTCATTTAATGACAGGCAGCTACAACTGACAGGTGCTTTTATGAAAAACCTTGATGCTTTAATATTATTTGAATTAATATCAATAGGTTAACAAGCCAAAAGCAGTTGTTTGAGGGACCCTCTATTCCCAATTACATTTATCTGTCAGGAGGGATGCATTATGGGGCCAATCTGCTAAGAAGTTACACCTGAGGGGAACCAAAATATCAGTCTTTTCTGCTGTGGTTCCTGCCCTCTGGAGCCCAAGTCAGGCTGGCCTTTTCCTATTCCAGCTTTCTGAAAACCCTGTAATAAAATATGGTTTTTCCAACAATCTTGAGGAACCCATAGGGAGTCTGCGAAATGGCCTCACTCTACTTAGAATATTGATATTCTCCCACAATCTTTGTTTCTATTTGTGTTTAATTTTTTAAATGATTGTTATATTTGTTTTTAATCATTTGTTGACTGTATGGTGCTCAGTGACATGAGTAGCTATACAAATTTGCTAAATAAACTGGCTTTCTATGATCAACTAATCCTTGTTTAGAACTTGAATAATGCTTTGATTTTCCATTCGATCCCTTTTAAGAAAAATGTTTTACCTATTCAAAATCTTTTATAGCTCACTTACTTTACAGCAGCCTACAGTTGGATCAATAAAAGCAATCCTTATTTTTAAGCTTCACAATCTCAGTCACTCAATACAAAGAGAATGAGGCAGGAAAGAGAGATAAAATATTTGGGCAGCAATCAGAGGCGGTTCAAGGAAAGGCAGGTGAGCTGCTTCAATTGGTATGGCATCTAAAGTGCCGATCGAGCGTGGCTGTAACTTTTATTTTTATTTATTTATTTATTTAATTTCTAGGCCGCCCAATCCCGGAGGACTCTGGGTGGCTTACAAAAAAAAAAAAAAAAAAAAAAAAAAAAAAAAAAAAAAA